GCGGCGGCGGCGCCGCCGGCGGGCCCGACATGCGCACCGGCAGCAGCGGCAGCGGCGGCAGCAGCGGCAGCTGCGCCAGCAGCGGCAGCAGCGGCAGCGGCGGCAGCTGCGCCAGCAGCGGCAGCAGCGGCAGCAGCGGCAGCAGCGGCGCGCAGTTTTCTCGGCTTTTTTTGCTTTTGTTCGCGCTGCGGACGCCGGACGCCCGCGCCGCAGCAGCAGCAGCCCCGGCGCGCTGCGGGCTCGCGCCTGAGCGGCGCCGCAGCCGCAGCCGCAGCGCCAGCGACGGCGCCGGCGAATCTGCTGCTGCTGCGGCGGCTGCTGCGCCGCCTTTTCTCTCTTTTTCCGCTAAATAACTTCAAATCCAGTTTGAAATCCCCGGCCGCTTCACCGCGCCGAAAACGGCCCACATCCCGCGGGACCCGCGACAGCGCCCCACCGACTCCGGCGGCCGCTGCGGTGTACGTACGTACACCCGCCTCGCGCTCACCGCCCAGAAGCTCCCCCGCAGCAGCAGCGGCGGCAAACTCTCGGTGGGGACTTTTTATTCAAATTTCAAAAAAGGGTTTCCAGTCTTCCCAAATTCGCAGAAATAAGGCTTCCCCGCGAACCCCCATGCACCGCGCCGCAGCTCCGGTCTACATACATGCACCCCAGTGCTCGCCGAGCACTCCCCACCAACTCTAAACCCGCCCCCGTCGCCGCAAACTCTAAACCCTAAACCCTAAACCCTAAACCCTTAACTCTAAACCCTTAACTCTACACTCTAAACACGAGACACCGCCCGCCCCAGAAGAGCCCCGGCCACCTGCACCCAAACCCTAAACCCTAACATGTGTAAAGAGTAACGCCCGAAATAACCGGAAAAGAAAAGTCCACAAAATGGCCTCAGGCGAAAAGAGGACACCTAAGACAAACCAAAAAGGCCCTCACGTAGCAGCGTCAGCTGCTGCTGCTGCTGCTGCTGCTGCAGGTATAACAGCAGCAGCAGCAGTTGCTGCTGCTGCAGATATAGCAGTAGCAGCAGCAGTGTAGCAGCAGCAGCAGTGTAGCAGCAGCAGCAGTGTAGCAGCAGCAGCAGCGACAACAAGCGCCAGCAATAGCAGCAGCAGCGGCAGAAGTAACGGCAACACCAGCGGAACAGCGAGCAGCAGCAGCAGCAGCACAACTAGCAGCAGCAGCAGCAGCAGAACTCATGAGAAACACTCTAAATAAATACATAAATTTGTTCCACTTTTTTATTTGCTGCTTTGTGCTGCTTGCTGCTTCTGGGCAATGCCGGGGCCTTTTCTTTTCTGCTCCATAAAAAGTTCTCTGCAAGAAAAAGTCCAAAAAGGATTTAATTTCATTAAATTAATTAAATTAATTGATTTAATTAAATTGTATTCATTGACTTAATTACATTAAATTAATTATTTAAATCGAATCAAACAGATAAGAAAACCTATTGAGGTATCGTCCGACTTCGCACGAGCAGCAGCAAGAGCAGCAGCAACCGCAGCAATAGCAGCAATAGCAGCAGCAGCAGCAATAGCAGCAGCAGCAATAGCAGCAGCAGCAATAGCAGCAAGAGCAGCAGCAGCAGCAGCAGCTGACTGCACGCGTTGTTTGATAAGCTGTAAACGACGAGCTGGGAATGCGTCAAGGCGTTGGTAGCTGCAAATAAAATAAATAAAATAAATATAAATAAATAAATAAATAAATAAATATAAATAAATAAAATGACAAAATAAATAAGTAGAATAAACAGATAAATAAAATAAATTCACAAATGAATGAATGGAGTTTTTAAAAGCAAAAAGACAAAAAAAATCAGGGAAGCTAAAATTGAAATTAAATAACAAGATTAAAAAGAATGTCAAAAAGAATAAAATTAAAAAGATTAAAATTAAAAACAAAATGAATGAAAACAAATTAAAACAACAGAACCAACAAAACAAAAAACACGAAAGTTTTTTAAATTCGTAAAAATGCAAAAAAGAAAAGAACCAAAAGAAAACAACAAAAGATGGAATAAAAACAAGTAGAACAATAAAACAAATAAAACAAATAATAAAACAAATAATGAAACAAATAAAACGAATAAAACAAATAGATAAAGCAAACAAAACAAAAAAACAAAAAAGCAAAACAAACAAAACAAACAAAACAAAGCAAATGAAACGAACGAAACAAACAAACAAAAACAAAACAAATTAAATAAATGAACAAACAAATAACCAAATAAGTAAACAACCAAATAAATAAACAAATAAATGATCAATAATAAACAAATAAACAAATAAACAAACAAGCAAACAAATAATAAACAATAAACAATAAACAATAAACAGTAAATAAATAAGTAAATAAATAAATAAATAAATAAAACAAAAGACAAACCGAACGTCGTGTTTGAGTTTGTCGAGAAGCGGCTGGAGTTCTTCTTCTTGAATTTGAAAAGAAAAACTTTTTTGGAAATTTTCTTTTTTGGACTTTTCTTTTTTTATTTTTTCAAAAACAAATCGAGAAACGTCCGGGTGCTGGCGCAAAAACAAAATGAAACCTTCTCCCAGTTCTTCCAACTGAATCAAATAAAATAAATAAATAAATAAGTAAATAAATAAATAAATTAATTAATTAGTTATTTATTTATCTATTTATTTATTTGATTGTTTATTTTGTTTGTTTTGCTTTATTTGGTGTTGGCGCCAAAACAAAATGAATCCTCCTCCCAGTTCTTCCAACTGAATCAAAATAATAAAGTATTCATATATATATTTGTTTATTTATTTACTTGTTTATTTATTATCTATTTATTTGTTTATTTGCTCATTTGATTGTTTTATTGCTATGTTTTGCTTTATTTGGTGTTGGCGCAAAATCAAAAAATGAAACCTTCTCCTAATTCTTCCAACTGAATTGAAAAAAGAAACAAATTATTTATTTAATTATTTAATTGTTTCACTGTTTGATTATTGATTAACAACTGAATTAAAAATTGATTCAAGATGAATTAATATGAACTAAAATGAATTAAAATGAATTGAAATGAATTAAAATGAATTAAAATGATTAAAAAGGATTTAAAAAGAATTAAAAGGAATAAAAAATTAAAATACCCTTTGTTCTGTTTTAGGCGCAATTTATGGAATTAAAACGAAATAAAATGACTTAAAATGATTTAAAATGATTTAAAACGGTTTAAATCAATTAAAATTGATTTAATTGAATCAAAATGATTTAAACTGATTTAAAAAGAATTAGAGAGAATTAAAAATAAAATTAAATTAAATTAAACAAAATACCCTTTGTTCTTTCCAAGCCTCTTGTTTTGGGCGCAACTCTTCTTCGGGAATTCCCTGGAAAAGTCTCTTTGCAGTTTGCACTTTTTCCAAAACCTAGAATTAAAATAAAATAAAATAAAATAATAAACTAACTAAATTAATTAAACGAATTAAATTAAATTAATTAAATTGAATTAAGCAGATTAAATCAAAGTGAATAAATTAAAAAGGAAACGAAAAGAAATGAAAGGAGATAAAAGAAGATGAAGAGAAATAAAAGGACAAAAACAGAAAAAAAAGCAGGACAGCAGCAGCAGCAGCAGCAGCAACAGCAACAGCAGCAGCTGGATTTGAACAATTCGAGGAAAGTTTGAAATATCGAACTGAATTAAAACTAATTTCATATCATTTTAATTGATTTTAATCCCTTAAAACGAATTAAAATGAATTAAAATGAATTAAATTAATTTAATTAATTAAATTGAATTAAATTAAATTAATTAAATTGAATGACCTGGTCAAAAGGAAGAGACAAATCTTCGTTTGGCAAAAGAGATAAACGCGAAGCAAAAAGAGAAACGCGAGAAGCGCAAAACTCCCTGAAGGAAATTTAAAATTAAATTAAATTAAATTAATTAAATTAAATTAAATTACATTAAAATAATTAAATTAATTAAATTAAATTAAATAATAAAATGAACAAATAATCAAGTTAGGTTGAATAAATAAGTTAAACTAAGTGGACTAAATTAGATTGATTTTAGAAAAATAATTAATTAATCAAATAAGATTAAATGAATAAATTCAATTGAATGGGTTAAATTAAATCCAGTAAAAAGAATTAAGGAGATAAATAAAAGGATAAAAATGATGTAAAAATTAGAAAAATGAAAAGACGGAAAGAAGACAAATAAAAGGATTAAAAGGAGAACAAAGAGGAACCAAAAGAGAGACAAAAGGGAACCAAAAAGGAAACACAAAAGAGACAAATAAAGGACAAACAGAACACCAAAAGAAGCCAAAAAGGGGACAAAAACGGGGACAAAAAGGAGAAAAAGGGACAAAAAAGAGACGAAAAATAGCAAACAAGCGGCCACAAAAGGGACGAAAAGGGGGAAAAAGGAGAGAAAAAAGAGCCAAAAGAAGGAGAAAGAAAGGGAAATGAAATGAGGAAAAAAGGGGATTAAAAAGGTCCCAAAAAGGGATTAAAAAGGGAGAAAAAGGACCTGACGAAAGCTTTGTAAAGTTCTTTTTTTTCTGTTTCTGTCAAACTGTTTGTTGTGAATCTGCCGTCTCCTTTCAGCAGCTCGAGGGGCCACTCGCTGCCGTCGGGGCTGCGGAAAAAGAAAACGAAAAAAGGCGGAAAAAACGAAAAAAAGGAAACAAATGGACATTTAAAAGCCCCAAAACGCATGCAGATGCATGCAGATGTTTACAAGGAAGAAAAAAGAAAAAACTCAATCAAAAAACAATTAAAATTTGCAAAAACGCACCTTTGCAAATACGGATTCTTCACACGCTCCACCAGCATGTTCCTGAACAAAAACACCAGGTGTCTGTACACCCCAATTAAATGCCTATACACCCTAATTAGCTGCCTATACACCCCAATTAGCTGCCTATACACCCGAAACAGCTGCCTATACACCCCAATTAAATGCCTATACACCCGAGACAGCTGCCTATACACCCGAAGTAGCTGCCTATACACCCGAAATAGCTGCCTATACACCCCAGTTAAATGGCTATACACCCCAAATAACTGCCTAGACACCGCAAATAACTGCCTATACACCTGAAAGGGCTGCCCATACACCCGAAAGAGCTGCCTATACACCCGAAATAGCTGCCTGTACACCCGAAACAGCTGCCTGTACACCCGAAACAGCTGCCTGTACACCCGAAACAGCTGTCTATACACCCGAATAGCTGCCAATACACCCCAAATAGCTGCCTATACACCAGAAAGAGCTGCCTATACACCCAAGTAGCTGCCTATACACCCGAACAGCTGCGTATACACCGGACTGCGCTGTCTGTACACCCGAAGTGGCGCACGTGAAGGCAGTGGCGGCGTCGGCTTTTAAAAGTTTCATTTTTTTTGTTTCTGCTTCATCCAAAACAGAAAGGGTTTGTCTTTTCTTTTGCATTCTGTCCGCAGTCAAGTCTTGGCAAACTTCTTCGTACAGCTGCTGCCTTTCTTTCGCAGAAGCCTGAACGCAACCTCGAGGGTTTAGGGTTTAGCGCTCACGGCTCAAAGACTGGGGCTTTCAGCCTACGGCTAGGGTTTACGGCTAGGGTTTACGGCTAGGGTTTAGGGTTTGGGGTTTAGGGTTTAGCGTCTAGAGCTGGAAAGCTCTTAGAGCCTAAAGCTGTGGCCTACGGCCTACGCCTACGCCTAGGGTTTAGGGCTTAGGGTTTAGGGTTTAGGGTTTGCGGACCAACTGGGTATACAGAGGATGGTTTCGGAATTCGCGGCGCCGCAAAGGCCAGTCTTCGGGGGGGAAGTTTTGGAGTTGTTCTCTAAATTAAAATAAATAAAAACATAAAAAAAAATAAATAAATAAATAAATAAATAGATAAATAATAAACCCTCAAAAGAAAGTAACTCAAACCCTTTAATGCAAGACTTGAAACCCTAAACCCTAAAAGAACCGAAACAAGCCCCAAGGGAGTGAAACCCTAAACCCTCGGCAAAACCCTAAACCCTCACCCAAACGCTAAACCCTCGGCGAAACCCTTAACCCTCACCCAAACCCTAAACCCTCCGAGAAACCCCATACCCTCAGCAAAACCCCAAACCCTCGGGAAACCCTAAACCCTCAGCGAAACCCGAAACCCTCGGGAACCCTAAACCCTCA